ATCAGATTGTTTCACAATTATTTCCCTAAATTCGCTCTAGTTCCTAAAATAAATTTTAATGAATTAAAAAATGACTAGCTCTTCAATAAATGTGAAAATGACTATGGCTTTTTGTGATGAGTTCTAGTTGTGTATTCATGTTTGGCATACTTAGGTTTTTAGTATAATTATTGTAACCCCAAATAAATGAAAAAATGATTTGATGTATTAGAAAATATAACCTGAAAATTATAAGCTATTCCAAATGAGAGGCTTTGTTTACTCTTCATGTAAATAGGTTCAATGAGAGTAATTATCCTGTAAATTAACATTTTACATTCACTGTAATTTACATTTTAAAAAGCAAACACTTCATTAATTCTATGGAAGGTATTTCAAATTTATAAATATTGATGAATTTAAAAATCATTCTTTTTATTTTTACACTTATAAATCTTTGGATTCAGTAGTTGAAAAATATTATTGAGCACATTTTTAAAATACATCAGTGAAGAAAAATAATAACTGTAATAAAATGTATTTATGATACTAATATGCATATGATTTCTGAAAGTATTTTAATCATCTAACACTGTTTTCAAACACAAATACTTGACTGTGTGAGACTCAAACTACAATTGTAGATCCCTAAACATACCCAAATACTCTATTTTCTAAATAAAACATATACAATAAAAATAGTGTCACATAGCCTGAAAATCATTGTCAGAGTTGACAAATTCTTAATACTACTATACTGCAAATACCACAGAAATATAGGGCACTTATTCATTTAAATAAAAAATAATTCACTTGGATCAAACTGATTTTTTTTTTTTTCTGATTGCCACCCCTGCAGAACTATGTTTGACAACCTAGAAGATGCTGTTTTTGTAAGGTCCATGAAGAGATCACTGATGGCTCTGACCACTATGAACTGGGACTCTGTTCCAATGCGAGAGGAAAAATTCCTGGAAGAGAAAGGCCCAGAACCTCCTCAGCTGCTCACAGTAACACTGAGATAACCCCCAGCAAATGCTCAGTAACACTGAGATAACCCCTGGCACTGCCAGGAATCCTAGTGGTACTCAGTTGTGTATTAAACCTCCCTATAACTTAGCATATTATATGTTAAGTTGATATGACTTGAAACAGTTAATGTAAACAGAAACACTAAGAATGAAAAATAATTGCTATAGTTAGGTTTTTTAATGTAAAGATTTTGCTAAGATAAAACATGTACATAGAAGGGTACACAAATTATAAGGGTTCAATTCAATGAATTTTCAAAAAATGAAGACTGTGTGGCATCCTTGATTAAGAAATAGAACATTACCATGAGGCTGAGGATATAGCTCAGTTGGTAGAGTGCTTGCCTTGCATGCACCAGGCCCTGGGTTCAATCCCCAGCAGGACCACCAAAAAAAAAAGAAAAGAAAGAAAAAGAAATAGAACATTACCAGCACTCTAAAAGCCCCTCATTTCTGTTACCAGTCACTGCCCAACCTTCCAAAGTAATTACTGTCCTGATTTCTAGATAATAAGTTTTGTGAAAGGCATATAAATGGAATTATAACAGATGAATAGTCTGTATCTATTTTTTTTCCCTTGACCTTGTAAGATTCCTCCTTGTTGCTTGCAGCAATAGTTCTATCATTCTCACTATTATCTAGTAGTCCATCAAATAACTTTACACAATTTATTTACCCAGTATACTGGTTTTTTTCTTACCTCTGGAGACATTTGCCAGTTTCACACATGGGCTATAATGATCTAGGCTGGGCCTAACTGGAAGCCTGCTGCTAGGGAAAAAAGAAACCAGACAAGCTTTTAGCAACTGCCTGCTGCTGAGTGACAAAATTAGACACTTGAGGGAACTCATTGGTGTTTTTTCCCAACTAATGAACTAAAAAAAAAAAGCCTTATAAAAGGCAGACTGGTATTTCTCCCTATCCTGTCCATTCTGGCAAACACACACACTGTAGAAAGAAGACTGGCAAAACAGGCAAGAGTTGAAAGCTTAGAGTAGTGAATTGACACCAAGATTCTACTGCTGTGAACACCTAAGAATTGTGTCACAGAAAAGAGTCTAAAATTTGAGTATGATTCCTAGCAGAAGACTGTAGTTAGGGTAATGAAAAAGCAATGATTTCCATATTTATGAGGGTGCCTGATATGAAGGCAAAAGTGAGTGCATGTCCAAGATTAGGTGATAGAAGGAATTGACACATTTACCTGCTCCACCAGAATCACTTACTTTGGGGGAATCCAGCTGCCGTGCCATAATGACACCCAAGCAGTCCTTTGGATAAGTACATATTCTAAGGAACTGAGATTCTCTTCCAAAAGCCAATGAGGATCAAGTCTCTCAGCCAACAATCATGGACACAGATTCTCCATACCCACTGAAACCTTCAGATGACTGCAGCCTTGGCTGAAAGCTTTTCAGTACCCTCAAACCAAGAAACCCCATACCAGAATTATCCACCCAGTTAAGCTGATTCAGGATTTCTGGTCTTAGAAACTGTATTAGCTAATGCTTAGTAATATTTCAAGCTGATAAGTTTGGGGGAAATTTGTTACACAGCAACAAGTAACGGATGCAATAACCTGGGCTAATCCATAGTGTTCGCAGAGTCCTTGGCAGGCTCCAACAGGAGACTCACAACACAGTCTCCAAGGGTTCTTGAGCAAGGACACACCATCTGCCGCAAAGGACTATTCATTCTACTGAATCCATCTTAGTACTGAGAGCCTGACCATTAATCAAGTAACTAACTAAAGCTACTCACCATGAACTGAGAACAAACCCAAGCATCTAGCAATAACACTGGATGGCAGCAATCCATTTCATGGTGAAAACGGTGTGTTGGGGATCAGGTTTAAGCTGGTCCATAAGTTACATAAGCACTATTCTTTAATTAGACAGCAGTAAATTAAGGATGGGATATTATAATCTCTAGACTAACCACTAAAAGAAGACTGAGTCCAGGACTCACAATGTAAGCTCAGTGGTAGAGCTTCTGTCTAGCATGTGTGAGACTCCGGGCTCAAACCCAGCACTGCAAAAAAAAAAAAAAAAAAAAAAAATCTAACATATGTTACTTGTTTTTCATGTTAGGGAATTAAAGGAATCATGCCTCAAAGAAAAAGATGTTCTATAAAGTGCATTCTTTTGTACAGGATATATTTTACTCAATATTGAAGGGCTTGTGGCAATTAGAAAACATGTATTAAATACCATTTGGGAAAACACAAAAATGAAGTTTTTTATAAGTTACCTAAAACTCTACCCAAACGAAACCACACCATTATTGGGAGGAACTTTTTTTTATTACGAGATCACATTATTTACTTTTAACAACAGAGATCGACTCAAGTTGACTCAATTAAAAATATATTTCAGCATCCAATGGGAGGTCTCGTGACTAGGAAACAGAAAATCCTGATATATACAGTTATAGAGGTATACAGGTTGTGGCTGATAGCTAGGTCTCTGGAACCAGACAAATCTAATTTTTCTCCACCCCCACCCCACGTATTTTACTTAGAAAAATTAGTTAACTTCTCTAGGCTTTAATATCCTCTTATTTAAAATAATAAAAGTGACCTCACAGTCTCAAGGATTCACATGTAAAGTTCAAGGTACAGTAGTCTTCTTAAAGTAAGTACTCCATGTATGTTAGCTATTACTGCTATTCTTATCCCAAGGACAATTGTGCCCCTTAGGGACTATTCTGGAGGTTATAGGCTGAATGTTGGTGTATGCTCAATATTCATTTGTTAAAATCCAATTACTAATGTAATGGCATTTGGAATTGTGGCCTTTGAGAGGTAACTAGGCCTTGAGAGTCCTCATGAATGGGCTTAGTGCCCTAATAAAAGGCCAAAGCTAGTTCTCCCTCTTTCTTCATGTGAGGACATAGCAAGAGGGCCCTTCATAACCCAGGAAGGAGTCAGTCACCAAGAACCCAAACTTGCTGATACCCTGATCTCAGACTTCAACTTCCAGAACCATGAGCGATAAATATTTGTTATTTAAGCCATGTGGTGTATGATAATTTATAATAGCAGTCCAAATTCACCAAGACACTGGACGTATTAGGGTTCTCCAGAGAAAGAGAACCCAAAGACAACGGAAGGGGATGGGGGTGGGGGGTGGGAAGACACACACACACACTAAATTGTTCTAAGAATTTGGCTCAGGCCCTGTGGGGTCTGGGAGGTCCAGAGTTGTAAGACAGGCTGGCAGGCTGGAAATTCAGGTTTGACTGGAAGATACAATCTTTAGTTTGAAATCTACAGGGCTGGCTAGCAGACTGGCAGGCTCTTGGAATTTTTTAGCCTGTAGCTGTTGGAGTTTCCATGTTGCAGGCTTCTTCAGCTCCAAGTGTGGGATATATAAGGCAAAAAGAACATGTGGAGACTCACCAATTAGTGTAATTGTCCAAATCCCAGGGTCCTTAGCCAGTCTACTAGAGTCCAAACTGGCAGAGTGGGGAGAGGGAAAGGAGGAGAACGATAGCAACATAAACATGCAAAACCATTAAAATTTAACCAGAAACTCATGTTTGTGGGAGAGCAAGGTCTAGGAAGACACTTTCACTACTGAAAAATAAATGTTTATCACTGTATAGATGAGGTACTCTGATTTTTATTTTGTCAAGGGAGGCTTATGATAATTGACAATTCAGACGAAATCACCCACTGCATTCCTACTCTAAATCCCTAAGTGTTGGATTTACTTGCATGAAGTCATCCTGGAGCAGTGTGGCACAGGGTGTGTGAGAAAACGCATGTGCTCAGGCTAGGAGAAAGAGATTGAGTATAAAGAAGTGAGAGTCAACAAGATGGAAGAGTTTGATATGCAAAGAAGAGAGAATTATAGTCACTTGGACCTTGACTGCACATATTAAAAATAACTTTTACTTTGTTCTCCAATATTGGCCATATTTCCTACAATTTGTCATGCTCTCTAGTATTTGCCACCTCATGACAACAATAAATTATGAAACAAGATGTGCTGTTTACATTAGTAAGCACGATTTATTTTAAATTCAACACAAGAAACTTTGAAACACAGAATCATCTTCAGACCTCATACCCAAGCTATGTTTAAATACCACATATGCTGAATATGGGGGCCAGCACATCTTCTAAATGACAGTTATAAATCAGTTTCGAGCAGGGAGTCCCATGAAAAGCTTGCAGGAAGATAAAAGTTAGCCTCTCGGGTAGTGTATGGCACATGAGTGAATTTTACAAGAATTGTGTATACAGTGTATTTAGCCAATATTGAGTCAAGAATTTCAGGAAGTATCTTTTAATGCACATGCTGGGACAGCCCTGGCTCTGCCTTGGTACCTTCTGAAAGATCTGACATTTCTGAAGGTAAAAATACTACAGAGAAAACATTGCTACAAGAACTGCATAAAGTTCAGACTTGCTCAGGATAATTTCTACATACAACTACACTTAGCTGAACTATGGCAAATATCTCTTAACATACAGCTTTTCTTCAGTTCCTTACATTTCAATGTGTAGAACTTCATTATAATAAATGCTATTTAGAGGTATTTTACTCACATATATGATTTTTTCCCTAACTACACATCTCTGTGGCTATAAAATTTTTCTTTCCTGAAAATCTCTTCTCTTGCATATCTATTCTTCTTGTCCCTTTGTTCCCTAGAGTCTATATTTCTTCTTTAAGGGGATTTATATTCCTTTGAGAACAATTGCTGGGGAGCCAGCCTCAGAAAGGGGACAGAATGTTTTTCCTGTATTGAAAGGGAAAAAAAAATACATTATATCTACCTGTTAAATTATGGAACTAGAGATCAATGGGGAATTGGGGCATGGTAGACAGAGCTTTGCTTGAAAGCCTCTATTCTATGAAATGTGCAATCCTGCCGTGGTGCCTTGCAGGTGTCATGAAGCAATGAGGGTACATTCACACGAGTTTTCCAGCTATCGGCTAAGGTGAGGCCCCTCCGTGATGGCACCTGCTATGGCTTTTACTCCTCAGACACCTGAGGACCTGAAGAGGCGTCCTGTATACCTTCCAACCCAGACTCACTTCCAAGAGATTCTTTCTTCCCTTCCATGGAATCATTAGAATTGGAGTCCTCTTGGGAGATGCCCATTTCAGCCTCTGGTTGCTCTTCATTAACACAATTAGAATTGACATCGAGTTTGCCATCTGATAAAAAGATAAAAAAAAAAAAAAATTGTTCCTACATGTGCCAGACAGTCTATTAATACTTTATGTGTACTCACTTAATTTCTCATAACTACAAGAGATAGATTATTATCTCTATTATAATTATCATCATTGCTTTACAAATAAAGAGAAGACATAGGTTTGGTTACTTGTTCCAAGCTTCATAGTAAAATAGCAGAATAATCACAGAACTCAGACTCTTGGCTCCAAAGCCAATCCTCCAACCCAGGATTGCAGTTTGGGATTTAACCCAATCAGCATTTGAATACAGCTTTCCTTTTAATTGGCTTGATGTCTTTGGGTAGGTAATCACCTCTATTCCTTGTTTTCTTATCTATAAAACAGTGTTTGTAATAAAGCCTAACCTGCATTTATAAAGAAAAAAATATCTAACATTTAGAATAGTGTCTGGCACATGGCTGGGAATTCTCATTCTACTGACACGTCTATCCTCTCATGATGTTAGAACATAAAGAGGTACTATTCTCTGTCCTCAGCATAGGATAAAAAAGGTTTGGTCCAGAGAACAAGAGAGGACAAGGTAGTCAGGAGGCCTGACTATTCTCTTAATGATAAATTGTTTAATTTTATACAAACCATTCAATCAAACTAAGAGTGTTTTTAAATCAAGTGATAAAGAGGACACTGTCCCATCACTAGTGGAGATAGAAATACCTAGGATCAGTCATTTAAACAATTTTTTCAAACTACATACTACATAAGTTCCCCAAGAACACAGAATAGCTTCTCTGGGGTGGGCTATAGGGACGTGGGTTGTTCCTCTCTTGCATATGAGAATCATTGCTGAAACAATTCAGTTACTGAAGAAAATGTAAACTTACCAGTGAAGGAGAAAGAAAGAATGTGAAACTCACTACTCTGACATTTGAAGAAATTTAGTCTGTACATTAGATCTGCAATTTAATCTGTAATTTACAAATATACTCTGTAATTTCATCTGTAATACTGAAATTTAATTAAATTTAAAGGCTTCCAATTTCAAAATCCTCTGGTACCCATTAGGGAAAATTTAAGTATTTCTGTATTCGAAAAATCCTTCATGAGCAGGACATAAGTGATTATCCATTAAGAGTCCCACCATTTTCAGGGCAGGCTCCTGAGCTTACATAAAGAATGTGGAATAAATCACATTCCCTTAGTATCCTATGTTCCTTTGTTTCCCAGTGACATTTCTTCTGACTATATTCTATGCGTTATTCCAAAGACTAGAAGGGGACACATTTAAGTTTAAGTGTGGTCCTTATGTTGGTCACTCTTGAGCTTCCTTGGTCCCCAGATATGATTCAGTTCCCATGTTCTCAGTGTAAACATCAACTATCTTTCATTTTCCCCACTGAGAAGCAGAATGAGATCAGTGGTTACATATACATACTGTTCTCCTCTTGGCTCTTTTCTTTGGCAGCCTCCAACTGTTGCTTCTCATAAATGTCCTTCAGATTCTTACATATTTTCTTATGCGTAAACCAGTGTGTCTTTTGGCAAGTTTGATCACAATATATCACCTGAAAGCAATTGTAGGTTTATTTTCATTTTAAGAGTTAGGATTGCATGATTTCCCAACTATAGCCTTAAACCAAGAACTATTCTGTAAAAACGTTTTAGTTTTCCATATTGTGTACTGTATGGCTATGTATTGATTTAGGTTTGCAATTTTTAGCTTACACTTTAAAACAGTAATGATATATAACCAACAGTCTACAAAAGACTGACAAATGACTTATTAAGATCCTTCTATATAACACAATTGGAAGAATAAATGACAAGATGAAGTTGTCATCGTAGAGGAAGCCAAGCCTGAGAAAGAGCAGGGTGGGGTAGAATGGAAGGAGACAGATGCCTAACAATACAGTTGGTAACAGCTACGCGACACAGGAGCAAAGGAGGCAGAGAGGAAGCAGTGACTCACTCTAACTGGGGGAGTCAGGGAAGGCAGAGAATAGGAACGAAGTGTACCAAGTGAGGGGAGTATCTCGAACAAAAATACAGGGAAAAGGAAGGGAATGACATATATAAAGATAAGCAAGAATACTTTATAAATGAGCTTATATTTTTCCAAGTGAGAATGGAAATGAACTTATACACACTTATTAGATGCCAAGCCCTGTGGTAGGCCGTTATGCATGCATGCATGGTATTATGGACAGCATTACTGGGTTCAATTCTTTACTCATTGCTGCATTCATTCACTTTAGATAGGATTTCAAAGTTCTATGCACATAAAAGGAGAGAGGTCTGACTTTTAGATTTGGCCACCTGACTTGTTTTGGCCCACAGAAGGAGACAGCACGGCGATTACAAGGCCCGGCCTCAGAAGCCCCTGTGTGTCTCTAGTTGCCCAACTGAACTTTTCCATTAGCATGAGAACAAGCTCAGCTGCCCAACTGTCCCAACTGAGGCCAGCCAATGACAAACAGAAAAGAAGTGACTGTTGCTATAAGCACTGTTTTTAGATTGTTTTCACATGCAGCAATAATTAGCCAACACAGATAGTTGAATTTTCACATCTTTAGCCCCAATTCACACATAAGCAAACTGAGGTTCAGAGAAATAAGTAATTAAAGGAGATAAAGCTGGAGAAGTAGACTGTGGCAGATTATGATGGGGTTTGTATAATACATTGAAGAATCTCGCCTTAAAATCAATAGGAAATTATTACCTATGGGATTAAGTGAATGCACGGACACAAGTATGTGAGTTATATGGGGTCTAAGAAGATGAACACAATCACATATGCCATTTACAAAGGTAATTCTGGCAGAAGTGGGCAGTGTATTCCCTAAGAATTAAAGTTTGGGGACAGTCAGAAGAAGCTGTAGATTGTTTTGTTTTCGCGTGTTAAGGACTGAACGCAGGGATGCTCTACCACTGAAAATACATCCCCAGCTACCCCCCAACCCCCACCCCATTTTTCTTCCTGGACAGGGACTCCCTAAGTAGCTATGGCTGGCCTGAAATTTGGGATCCTCCTACTTCAACCTGCTAAGTAACTGGGATAGAAGTGGTAGTTTTAAAAAGAGTTGGTGAAAAGATGGTAGTTAAAGTCAACATCAAAAGAGTTAAGAGTATGTATTTATGAACTGTCCTAATCTAAGCTTCCATATCTGCTCCAACCTCAATCTCCTGCTCTCTACCTATTTCTTATTTTCTTATATTCACCCAGTAATATCCTTTCTTTCTGTGGAGTAGAAAAGAAACTAAGGCGGACTGGTAGTCTGGCAGAAGATAAAACACAGAACTACATTTATTCTATAATTCTCTTTCAAAACTAGTCTTTAAAATATTAGATGCAATACTTTCATGTATTACAACTTATTAAAGACTAACACCAGCTGTTATGTTTACAGACTACTAAAACCCAATTGCTAGCTTGGATGCAATATTAATCAGACATCAATGAATTTAAAAGAACTCCATTCTCACCATTTTGCACACTGAACATCTCTTGCTTGCTCCCTTTTCTCCACAGGTGGTGCAAAATTCAACGTCCACAAAACCCACCTGACCAGTGATGGCTTGGGTAAGAACAGAGAATGCAGTGGGATCAGAACCCTAGAGTGGGTATAAAGAGGAGGGGGGAAAAAAGAAAAACTCTGCAATCACCACAAAAGAATACTATGATGCCGCCCCATGAACAATGTTATCTAGAAACACATACTCAAGAAAGAAATCATTTACATTGACTTTTTGACAAAATGACAAATATTTTTTGAGAACACTTTTTTTCTATACAAAGCATATAAGAAGTCTCAGATCCCAAAAATTATAAAGAAAAAAAAATGACCTATTTTTGAATACAAGTGTTTTTCAATTAACATTATTCAGTAAGCCCATAGTGATTTCAGATAAAGGACAATGAACTCAAGAGTAGAATTTTTGAAAACTGACATCAAGACAATATTCATATAATTGTGGGACAGTTATAGGGCACATCATGAATGTTTAATCATCTTAATTCTTAAGTTTGATGCAACTTAAGCATTTAAATTAAGTACTAAGAAAAATCAACAGTGTGAAATTATTATTGCAGGATTATTAAAATTAGAATGGGTTATTAAAGAGGATATATAAAAATTTTTATGAAGAAAATTATGAGGGGAAATATTTAGCTACCTGAGGTGATGCTTTTAAAACCTATCTAGAATAAGCAAAAATAATCAAGGAGCATCTATTTTTCTTACCTATTCCTAATAGCTCTGTGTTCTGGATTACTTATTCGGAACCAATATTTGCCACTGTTCATAATTTTCATTTTCATTTGAGTCTTTACTTCTTCCTAAGAATGTTTTTACATTATTTTACCAATTGTACATAATGGATCTTTAGAAAATAAAACCTGGAAGCAAGTTCTATACTGTTCTATATAGTTAAGATAGTTAAAAGATTCAAGAAGTGCTTTTAAAGTAGAATTCTTTTTAAAACTCTCATGCTCCTCAATAATCTCTAGGGTATATAAAGAACTCAAAAAGCTAAACACCAAAAAAACAACCCAATCAATAAACAGGCCAAGGACCTGAAGAGACACTTCTCAGAAGAGGACATACAAACAATCAACAAATATATGAAAAAATGCTCATCATCATTAGCAATTTGAGAAACGCAAATCAAATCTACTCTAAAATTTCAGCTCACTCCAGTCAGAATGGCAGTTATTATTAAGACTAACAACAAAAAGTATTGGCAAGGATGTGGGGGAAAAGGTACACTCAGACATTGCTGGTGGGACTGCAAATTGGTGCAGCCAATATGGAAAGCAGTATGGAGATTTCTTGGAAAATTGGGGATGGAACCAGCATTTGACCCAGCTATCCCTCTCCTTGGTCTATACCTGAAGGACTTAAAAACAGCATAATACAGGGACACAGCCACATCAATGTTTATGGCAGCACAATTCACAATAGCTAAACTGTGGAAACCAATCTAGATGCCCTTCAGTAGTTGAATGGATAAAAAAAAATGTGGCATATATACACAATGAAATATTACTCAGCAATAAAAGAGAATAAAATCATGGTATTTGCAAGTAAATGGATGGAGTTGGAGAAGATAATGCTAAGTGAAGTAAGCCAATCTCAAAAAACAAAATACCAAATATTTTCTTTGCTATAAAGAGGCTGATTCATAGTAGGGTAGGGAAGGGGAACATGGGAGGAATAGATAAACTCTAGATAGGGCAGAGGTGTGGGAGGGGAAGGGAGGCGGCATGGGGTTAGAAATCATGGTAGAATGTGATGGACATCATTATCCAAAGTACATGTATGAAGACACGAATTGGTGTGAATATACTTTGCATACAACCAGAGATATGAAAAATTGTGCTCTATGTGTGTACTATGAATTGCACTGCATTCTGCTGTCATATATAAATTAATTTTAAAAAACTCTCATGCTCCTGAACACAAATAATAATGACAATAATATTAACTTTTCATGTTAAGATGTTAAGAATTCTCTTTTGCATTAAATATGAGGTACTAATAAGAAAAAATTAGGTGAAATGAACCCTTGGATATCAGATACTTTTCTAAATAATTCCACCAGAAATGAAGGTGACAATTGTGCTGAAATGCTGACATGCATCAGAGAACTTATTAAAAATTCAGAACCATCCCCTTGGCCCATATCTAAATTAGAATTTCTTAGGGTGGAGTCAAGATACCTGCATTATTATCAACATCTGAGGTAATTTTAAGGCATATTAAAAGTTTGAGAATCACTAGTACTTAGCACTGGATATACATAAATCTACATAATTCTTTTGCCTCCAAAGTACTATATCAGATTAGATAGCAATCCCACCCACAAATCAAAAGAGAACATGATATGTCCAATGGACATCAAAACAATTACATTTTCATATCCAAATAGTTCTTTACAGAACTACCCAAAAATATTCAAAATACCCCTCCAAATAGGACTTTTGTGGGAGTCATCAACACACTAATATCCGCATGGATAAAACTGAAGGTAAAACCAAAGGATATTTTCCTAGGAGTATGGCTGTTCATGTGAACTACTACTTCCAAAGAAAAATTAATGATGGAACAGATGAGTAACCACAGAGAATCTTTCTTGTCACTGATGTGTGACAAGAACTTTCCTGTTAAACAAAATCTTGTTATCTACTTGGTTAAATAAGAATTTGTTTAGGTGCCAGAGCTTCTTTTATGAAAAGATACTCAGCCTGGAAATAAACAGGAAGCTTTATTCAATGTATGCTATAAAATCAGAGAAAGAAGCTAGGCTCTTAAAAGTTAAAATACCCATTAGCAATGGATATAGCAAAACATGTGTAACAGCATAATCTGCTGCAATGCTGGAGTAATATTTCTTAAATTTGGCCATGTGCCACACTTCCTACTGAGCTTTGTGACAGGCAGAAGCCAGAGTCCCAGGAATTAAAACCAGGCAGAAGGGCTGGGATTGTGGCTCAGCGTAGAGTGCTCACCCATCATGTGTGAGGCCCTGGGTTCAATCCTCAGCACCACATAAAAATAAAATAAAAATACTGTGTCCAACTGCAACTAAAAAATAAATATTAAAAAAAAAAACAACCAGGCAGAAGGAATCAAAACCTGCACAAGTGGACCCAGGCATGAATAGTCAGAAAGCAACAGGTGATCCTCAGGGCAGCAGCCCTGGGAACCTTGTGTTACAGGAAAAGGTCAGCATTATCTCAGAGGCTTAAGAACTTGTGGTACAACCAAAACTATTAGGCAGTAAACAGTAGCTATCTGGGACACTCAACTACAAGCATTCAAAATAAAGTATTCCAGAGAGTGGATTATATAACTCTTAAAGGACAAAATTTTAAAAAAGAAACATCTTTCTAAATCGTATTAAGTACTACCTTAACTTTATTATGAACCTTTTCTTGATGACTTAGATTGTTATGGTAAATATGAATCATTCTACTCTGTAAACTTTAATCATATTATTCTATCATGTGGGGCTAAGATGTATCGCTGTACCCTACACTGACCTGCTTTGACTTTTTAAGTCCTCTGGGCTGCTGTTTAAGCTTTTCTGTTTTCTCCCATGAAGGTGGAAAGCCAGCCAGCACTTGTTAGTGTTGCAACCCCCCCACAGCAGCCTATACTAGTTCCTTTTCTGATGTCAGTTTCTCCAGCTTTCTCACTAACACAAGCATAATTTTGTTTAAAGCAGCAGGAGTAAGACAAAACACTCATTTCCCCAAATTCCTGTGCAGCTGAGAATGGTCATATGACACAGAGGGTGTTTCGGAGAGCTTACATGTTTTAGATATAGGCCCCTTTGGACTTCCTGCCTGCCTGGGATGGGAATGTGAGCCTGCAGGAAGTGTCAAAAGCATCATGAATGTGTAGACATCAGCATGAGTATGAGGACCTACACAGCTAAGGAAAACTGGGGTGCAAACTGTTTTTGAGCCATGCACCGGACGTGGTCTGCCTACCTGAGCATTTGAGTATATGTGAATATATAAACCCTTATCTATTTAAGGCATTTGGTTTGAATTTGATATGTGCAGACAAAACATATTTATAATTAATAAGTTAACCTCACAATTTGCTCACTTTTATCTTCAAAGACTTTTATCTTCAAACACTAAATAGCCAACTATATTAAAATGGAAGAGTAAAGAATTTCTGTGTGCTCCAAATCATGAACAACCTCAAGAATGGGATCCTAATTAGAATAAGTTATACTCCATGTATGTATAATGTGTCAAAATATTCTCTACTATCATGTATATGTAAAAAAGAACAAGTTAAAAAAAAGAATCTGTGTGAACAGATGTGGAATTCTCATGAATAAATTAATGCATGGACTCTATGAAATCTTCTTGCCCATTTCATGATTCATAGTAGGTGAATTCTTAATGTACAAAGGAGCCCCTGGAACTCACTTCTAGCCTCGATCTCAATTTTCTGCACTGAAAATGATATAACAGCCTAGAGAATGAAGCCAAATTGCCAGGAGAGAACATGTAAGGAATGGGACTGACTGGTTTTAGGATCAGTTTCTTGACTTCTTGACACTTAAGAAGGATTTGATTGAAATATATGAAGCATGAATGGGATGGATAAACTGAACAGAAATCTACTCAAAATAAGGAAGACAGAGAATGTCTTAAGACATACAACTTAAATATATGGCAAAAGGACAACCAGTAATTTTAAAAAATAGACAAAAAAGTTAACAAAATCTACTTCCTATATGTGGGAAATAGTCACAGGTTTTTTTCTATTGGTTTTGTTTTTTTAAGTATGGAAAGTTCCTAATCAGAGTTACTAAGGTGGAAAATAAGAAGCTGGGATATAATTGAGATTAAGAACTACAATGAACCTTCTCGTGGCTTATTCAGCTACACACCCACAGTCTAGATACCATCACCCCTTATCATCTGCACATGATGCAAGACCTCGTACCAGTAATTCTTAATAGCTACAAGTGTATATGTGTTCATCTGTATTAAACAGTAGATATATACCCATCTGCACAGGTTTCACAGATGTATTTAAAACCTAAGTGTCTATTATAACCATCTACTTCCTACATAAGGAAACACTGATAATTAAACTGAGTGCTATAAAAATGTAAGAAGACCACAAGAGGAGAAAAGAACAAACAGGAACATGTTTAGCAGGCAAACCTATCCCCACTTTTGTTCCTAAAAACTTTATGAAAATAAAAATAAATACTAAAAGAAAATTCATCTTTAACAATACAATGCATAGTAACTAGGTCTTACTGATTGCAAACTTGGTTAAGAGGAGCCTTACAATTTCAACAGGAGCAATGCTTCGCACCAGCTGCTGGAGGAGTGTAGCTTCACAGTATGGGAATTTTCTGATGCTTTCTCTAATGATTTTTTCCTGATACACTGGAAAGCCATCAGAAGCTCGGCCTTTTAACAAGCTGAAAGATATTTTTTAAGGACATATTGAAGTTCAATCACTAAGCATTTCCTTCTAGCTGAACCCAACAGCTTTTAGTAGTTTCTTCTTTGTTATGTAAGATTTTCATCATCTCTTTAAATCATGAAGATGACTCAATTCAACCTGCAATTCAGGCCTTTACAGGTTTCCAGGTTCTGAGATGCACAGGCAAAGGTGACCCACCAGAAAAAGCTAAACACTGTTATCAGATAAGCTGGTTACTTATTACCATGTCAGTTATTTGTAGGAAGAATGAAAACTCTCATTGAGTCACACTCTTCTGACTTGGTTCCCTTTTCTCATTAACGTTGCAAGAAAAGTTTATCTCTGGTGGTCAGAGAACAAGAACAACACTCAGCTCTCCCAGATATAACAACAGAAATACCCTAAATGCCATTTTGAGTCCTCAGTACAACCTCCAGCACCAACACCATTAAACCTCACACTTGCACTTAGGCATTTTTTAGCTGCCTGATCTTATACATACTATTCAACCTCAGATTCCTCATGTGTAAACCAAGGATAACAAAAAAAAAAATCACTGCAAAGCCTACAAAACTAATCTTAGTATAATATGGTCCCCTTATTTCTTGCAGACTAAATGTGATCCCAACAATAGAAAATGCTGTTAAAATACTTAATTTTGAAACTTATAACTAGTTTTTATATATTAAAGTATTATCCTACTTGTCTGTATTTTATACAAGACATGGTAAAAAAACAGTACCTTTTGATCAGTGTGTCCAATTTATTCTCTCCATCTTTTAAGAAGTTAATGCATTTCTGAAAGATACAGCTGATATAATGCATTTTCATTGCTAATACTTCATTCATGTCTCTTTGTTTCATACATTTCTCACAAATCAAATCCATCACTTTATAGCACTTATTCAGGGCTGCTTCTTCTGCCAGCAGAGGATTCTCATTTACAAGCATCACGATCTAAAAGAAATTCCAGAGAACTTAGAAATTCCATGAGATATTTTCAATTTACAAATTGGGTAGTTAGTTGACTGCAAGAGATTACCAAATAAAGTCTTTCTTAGGATCATATAGTCAGTGTACTAGTTCAAATTAGAATGCAAATTGCCACCAAAGTAATAAAACTAATACGCAAGAACCCTAACACCATTGTATCTCTTAATATCAAAGTAAAATATGATCTGCCATCTCTCTGAACCAAGGTATTAGTACATCATTTCAGGTACATAGTTTTACTGCCTCTAGAGTAATCATGGCACATTGTACAATCTTTTGTATAAAATCAAATCACTGAGCAATTACTTTTCTTAGTTAACATTACTGAACTCTATAATTTCATGATTATAAGTATAATTCTCATTAATTCTTATTAATTATAAGAAAATGAGATTTTTACAATAAAAAGTCTAAAAATGAAATTGTTTTTCTTTCCAATTAACTATATTTCTCTGAAGAAATTTTTCTAAAGATGCTTCAAATTATCTACACTAATGAGAATAGGTCAAGGAAGAAACTATAAATAATTTTAAAAGTGGAAAGTCAAGTTGGGCATGATGGCACATGCCTGTAACCCCAGCAGCTCGGGAGGCTGAGGCAGGAGAATTGCGAGTTCAAAGCCAGCCTCAGCAATGGGGCAAGGTGCTAAGCAACTCAGTGAAACCCTGTCTCTAAACAAAAAACAAAAACAAAAACAAAAAACAAAACAAAATAAAATGGGGCTGGGGATGTGGCTCAGTGGTCGAGTGCCTCAGAGTTCAATCCCTGCTACAAAAAAAAAAAAAAAAAAAAAAGTGGAAAGTCAAAAATTATCAAATTTTACACATTATAAGTCCCACATTTCTACATTTACCTTTTTATTTTCTTTTAACTACCCCATTTCTTATGAATGGACAGATTAAGCTTGAATTTAGTGTAATGAGGAGTATGTTTCTTACTAGCTTTGTTACAGGGTAGATTACTTGAATTTGGGTCTGTATGAGACCCTGCATGAGGACCTATAGTGAACATGTATATAACATCGCCACAAGGGTATGCAGTCAGTACTTACTAATTTACATGTTCCAGCTAAATACTTATCCTAGTGATTGTAAATGTCAGGGAACAAGAGTTAGCAGATTTAGTAAGTTACATTCCTCTCTTCAGGAATGAAAAAAGATCAGTTGTTAGTTTAAGTAAAACCTACACCTAGCCTCCTAACACAGATTATATGGACATGAGAAACTGAAACAGAATTTTCACTTATTCTTGATACTACTAGATTTATATATAACCTGGTATTTTTCTTAAAATCCAACACTTAATAACAATAAATTATTAGACTTAAGTATGTATAATCAGAATACTTAGTGGTCAATTTATTGATTATTCCCCCTACCAAATATATATCAAAATTAATTTGTGAAGAAGACTCATTAATTAGCTTATTTACATCTCTACTTACTGCAATCATTTAAAATGTTTGCTCAATATTTTTATATATAGAATTTATAATCAAAGTACAAGCTCTTAACTTACAAGTGGGAATTCTTTTTAAAAAAATCTCAAAGAGAACCCAGATTAATGATTTTTTTTGTCTCGAGACACTTATTTTATAGAGCAAATATTTATAAAGAAATACGATAGCCGACATTTCTTTTTTTTATTTACCTTTCATTTTCTTTTGAGTCCCACATTTCTTATGTATACACAGATTAAGATTAAATTTAGTGTAATGAACCATTACCATGCATTTACTGAAACATTTACATAGCTGTACACAAAGGAATATTTGTGCTAGTTTCCTTCCTTTTCATCTCTGCAGCATTTTTTAAAAAAATATTTATTCTTAAGTTTTTTTAGGTGGACAAATATCTATATTTTACATTTATGTGGTGCTGAGGATCGAACTCAGTGCCTCATGCATGCTGGGTGAGCGCTGTACCACTGAGCCATAACTCCAGTCCCTCTGCAGCATTTTGAAGTATTTTGAAATGAATCCTTATTATAAATTACCAAGAGAAAAACAATATGCCTTTCAGCATTAAATATGCCTTTCAGCATTAAAAACTATTTGAATCTTAACTCTCAAAAGGGTGCTACCTGAAACTATGTTCATGAATTTTGAATTCATTTTTTTAACTCCCCCTCCTTTTATTTCCAGTGCTAGAGATCAATCCTAGGGCCTCATGCAGACTAGACACACACTCTACCACTACAGATACAGCCCCAAATTTCATTTTTAAAATTGCTAAATCAACAATTTGGGGCTTGAATATCATCTTACTAAACAAAAACAGGATTGCTCTCTATATACCTCTCTCCTTTCCACGTAGAAACTTTGCTCAGTTCTGTTTTTCTGTGATTTATTTTTCTCTAGATAACCTTGATTTTCTGGGTATCAGCATAATTCCCCAAGTCCCTTTTGAAAATAAACACATCCTTATTACCATAGCAGCCACTTAACCTAGACACAAATGCAGCTATGTTACGTGCAAGGGAATGGAAAGGTAAGCTGCATACTGAAGAAATTTCTGTGCTTATTTTAAAAGCTATTTGACTTTAGACAGTGGTTGCCTGTTACGTTTTTTATAATACTCACTAGGAAGAACCAGGCTAGCTTGAAAAGAAATAAAATAATGAAAGTGGGCCACAATGAAAGCAACTGGCCAGCTTTATATCCAAAGTATGGATAAAAGAAAGATTTTCAAGTGAATAGATTGTTTATACCTACAAAAAAGCAAAGTCAGGTCTGAAGGACGTTACTCTGGTTATATAACAGTCTCCTTTTATAAGACTATGTGATACAAAAATATTATGTAGAATATTTCAGATTATATACCTTTGCAATTTATTACCTGTATAAATATGCCCTTTATCTAATTTACTCAAAATATATGCCTTTAAAGATATCTGAAAGTAGAATAATTCTTAGGATTTTTTTAAACCTGAGAGACCAGGTTCCATGTAAACATCAAAAATTATTCCAGAACCTTCTTGCAGTCTAATGGCATAGAAATGTAGATATAAAAGTCAGTAAATCCAGAGCTGGGGACATAACACAGTAGTAGACTGCTTATCTAGCATATGAGAGACTATGGCTTCCATCCCTAGTACTGATAAAAAAACAAGAGTTGGTGAGTCAGAAAAATACAGGAAACTTCTTCAAATCCACCTAAACTAGAATTCCCCGTAATACTCATGCCAAAGAGGAACAAAGGTATTATAAAACCACACACATTCTCTACAGTAAGAAATATGGTATCTATATGAAAAAACCTGTCTTCCAGCCCAGCCTGCAACACACCAGAGTGTCAAAGACAAAGAGGTGCTGCTATTCCCACGAGTTCTCTCTTCTAAATGTGTGCTGGGAGGGAAGGAGCCACTAACGCAAAAGAGGCAATTTTTTTTTTTTAAAGGGTAAATTCTAAGTACCATTTTCTTCATAATTTTTTATGCAACTTTTGTTGTTGTTTCTAAAATGACGAATCCAAAGAAAATAGCAGTGAAAATAGTGAGGAATGATTCTTAAAGCATCCTAGTTATGCGATTTGAACTTAAGTGTTGGTCTAAAAGTTGAACAATCTGCTTGATTTGACTGACTCCTGAAAAAACTATATTACTTAAAATCATCAAAGAATCATTGGCATGTTCATGCTTCCTAGAAAGATAATTAATAGCAGATGCCAACAGAACACTACTCGGAGCCTTTCTAACAGTCCTGCAAATCAGGCTCTGGGCACTCTGAGTGTTGGCTGCAAAAGGCTCAGAGTGGCCTCCTTCTTGTCCTCATTCAATGGGAGCCATCTCGCTTCTCTCTACCTGGGAGATTGTCTCTTCTCTCCAGAAATGAATACAAAAGCCTGACTCACTGGCCACTCTGGAGCCACACCTGCTGCAGAACACAATGGTGTGAAGCCGGCTTCATGTGGGCCCCACTCTTTGCTTGACCTTTCCTCCTGCTCCAACCTGTTGCTCCTACTATCTCTTGGGTTTCAACCGAATGCACTCCTTCAAGAAATCTAATGAACAAAGGGGCCTACTCCAAACTCCACATCTACAAAACTCAAACCCAGACCATTATGATCCCATATAATAAGAGCAGTTCAAACTCTGAAGCAATATTGAAATGAAAAGCAAATACAACCTACCTTGACAGGATGAAGATTTGTTGTGGTGATGATTTTGTGCAATGGGCCTGCCAACTTTGGAGGCAGTTTTGGCTCTTTATCCAGTCCCTGGGGTTTAGTGTAATAATCCAGTCTCTCTCGTGGAAAGAAATTGTTGATTATAGTCACACAATCATGTTGACCTTTTAATAGAAAAATAGAAAAATTGCATTTTTATCATTAAAAACAAGACATCATCTGGATTTTTTTTTTTTTTAACTATGTTGCTGCTTCCTTATAAAGTAACCATGCATCGGAAAAGGAGAGTATAGGAGGAAAAGGAGAGGTACATTATTTTAGAGAACATTTATAAGCATTCTAAAGTAAAGAAACAATCTTTTAAATGCACAGAATCCACAACATATCTGAAGATTATGTGGATTACAAAAAAGCAGTGTTCAAGTTATAAATGGCCCTGAAGTCTTTTGTAAAAATGGGTTGTAATCTAAATGTCTCTTCTTCAAACCGCTACACAAATGATAATCATGCTTCCCTAGTTATACTTAATTCAAATATATGCTATATAAGTATACTGTTATAATAGTAATAATTAATATTATTAAACTACCCCTCTCCCCCAATTTGAGAAAAGCATGGCCTCTTTGTGAAATGAATCAAAGAAAAAAAAATTATTATTTTTTTAAATTTTTGCTCCCAAAAGTTTGGTTTCTCATAAATCTCTAAGCCACTCCTCTGAGCCATCTCTAGCTTTAGAAATGGTTCTACAGAAGCAAAACCTTCCTATGGAGGTTGGTGGCCTCATAGTGTGCTCCTGCCACCTCCCCCTCCCGGGATCCCTCTCCACTACCTCTCTGGAGCTGGGAAGCGGCCACTCTGGGGAAGCAGGCAAAACCTACAGGGCATACTCCAGGGTGAAGGCTCTTCTGGGATCTCTGAAGGAGAAACCTCTTCCGCCTCTCTGCCTGGCGAGGGCAGAGGGACCAGTGGTGGAGAGTCCTGGGGAGAGTGCCCATCACTGCAGCTCTCGGAGGGTGATCTGTCCTGGGCAGACAGCGAGGCCCCTGCCCACGTGTGCACGGTCCTGGGAGCATCTGCTTGATCCTTTCGACAACAGGTGACCTGCAGGGGGATTGTACTGTGGGCCAACTGGACCCCTGGCACTTGAGGCTGGCAAGGGGCTCTGCTTGTCTCTGAGCATTTTTGGGAGAACGTGGGAGTGGAGCAGCCTCTTGGTGCCTCGGCTGGTAGGGTGACCTTGGGCCCAAAGGCATAGAGATTGTGGCACCTCCTCCACTGCTGCCCAACCCTCACAGCTTCACTGGACTGCCTAACAGACACAGAGCAGAGTACCCAGGGAGACCCAGCAACTCCAAGATTACGCAGTACTAGGACAGATGGCTTCTTGGAATGGCAGTGGACTAGTAACATTAACCATGACAACTAGGGCCACAATCAGAGCTGGAAAATAATGGCCCTTCAGCAGATTCTATTACAGTATATAGAGACTTTCAAGAACCACAGAAAGATACCAATTTTAAAGATTATTACACAAACTGAAAGAGGTAATCCTGTTGACTATTGAGAACTAAATCATTAATGCAGATGAAGGGGGCAAAGCATCTCAAGACAGAGAACAACTCAAAGATAAAAATTATTATGGAAGAGAGAAGCGAACTAAGAGATCCAAGAAATCTAATAGTAAAAAATCCCAGAGAGGAAAAAAAGAAATGGAGAAAGAATTAAGCAAATGACAAAAGAATAGGTCACCGATTTAGAAAGAGAAATTAGTGGTGATCACAACATCATTTTTTGGTATTCCATGCTACCATTAAATACCAAATCACCAGTTAGTTAACTAGTTTCTGTCTCTCTTTTTTCCTTTCCTTTGGGTGGGGAAGGGGCATTTTCTTTTCTCTTTCTCTCTCATTCTCTTTTCCCTTCCTCCCTTCTTTCCTTTTTCTTTCTCTCCCTTTCCTTATGTCAGAAAGCTCCACTGCCTACACCTTGAGAAGTCAAACAACAGCAGTCTATATTAAAAATCTGTAATGAGCCAAGGTGATGTCTAGGGAATGATCAAGTCTACCTCCAGGATCTTCAAGAAGAGAGAAAAATGATGTTCAATGAATTTTATCTCCTAAGGGAGGTGTGTTGTGGACAAGACAGCATCAAAAGCAGTACAGGTATCGTGTGAATTTACAACTTGTACTTGAAGAAACTAGAGAAGATGAGACAGACTGCACAAGCTTCCTTGAAATACAATCTACACTCACATTGAATAAAACATATATGTTCCTATTTTTTAAAAAAGTTGTTCCAAAATATCTCATTGAAATGATCAAACCAGATACTTTTATATCTGGTATTAATATAAAGGGGTCAGAGGAAAATATGGAATTAGTTTAAAACTGTACCTCCTCATCATGGAATTAGTTTAAAACTGTACCTCCCCCAACTAGTACAGTCAAAAAAAGCTGTTAGCTGTTGGACGTGGCTGTACATAAAAATATCTACTACATAACAATCACACTGTCATACGACTAGGATTTTTGTTTGTTTTTGTTTGGTACTGGGGATTGAATCAGGGGCACTCGACCACTGATTCACATCCTCAGCCCTATTTTGTGTTTTATTTAGGGACAGGATCTCACTGAGTTGCTTAGCGCCTTGCTTTTGCTGAGGCTGGCTTTGAACTCACTACCCTCCTGCCTCAGCCTCCTGAGCCTCTGGAATAACAGGCGTGCACCACCACACCCGGCTAAGATTAGGGGTTTAATATTATACCTTTATGAAAAGTAAAAAATAATATTACTTACTTTTTGTCAAAGTCAATGTTTTTAATTTTAGATAATGCTTAATGTGACATTTCGTTTTAACTAATCTAATGATTTACATTACAGTGATATATGTTTAAAGTTTATCTTTATAAATGTAATTTTTATTTGATAATGTGTTTTAATTTTTATAATTAGAATTATAAAATATTTAGTTTTGTTGGGTTTTAATTTACAAATTCTGAATACACAAATAAAAAGAATTATCAATATAGAGAATAAATGTTACAAGGGGGGAAAGTCAGCACATCATTTTGCTCTAGTATTACAATGACTAGACTTGAGTCTTGTAGCCCTCAAAAACTCACTGACATATTCTGGTAAAATTGCTTAGTTTCAAGGATGAACTAAACATTAAATATTCTTTCAGAAAGAGATGAAAAGTTTACAAAAGAAAATAAACTGAGTTCTTATTTGCAAAACTAGAAGTGATAAAATCAATAACAATATCATACTAAAAACATTCTCATGAAAACCAGGAAAAGGACATGCCAATTATCACTATTAGTACTTCTCTTTAGTTTGAAATTTGACAATAATTCAAATAGAAAATAAAATAGAATTGAATAGCTAAAAAATCCAAGAGACTAATAAAAATGACAAAAAAAAAAAAAAAAAAGGACTCAATAGCTTTTCTCTTTTTACACATAACAGGCTAGGAGAAGTGGAAGAGTGTTGAGGTGTAGTAAGAATTCTCCTTGCAATGGGGCAATAACTCCAAATTACTAAAGATACGAACTTTTTAAAAATGACTGTTATTAAGGAATCTATTAAATATTGTTGAGAGACCAAACAAGTTCTGCCCAAAAACCATATAAAGTCGTACTATGTGAATTGGATAGTAAGTTCTTATATCATACAGATGTTTATTCTCTGCATATACATAATGAAAATTACATAAAAGGGAATTTAACTTAAAACAAGATGGTATTTCAGTGCAGTGGGAAAAAGTTGGGTGGTTAATAAATGGTATTATCACAGCTATATACCTAGGAGAAAAGAAATTGTTAAAATAAATAAATAAACTTTAGAAGTACCAAAGCAAAACTCCTTAGGAAAAACAAAAATCCAAACAACATTTAGGAGACTGCCCGATCAAAGAAAATCTCTAACAAGAGAAGAAACATGGAATTTATAAAAATAAATAAGACTATTAAAAATAAACTCCCTGTGGCAAAGGTCCTCATAAGAATCAAAGGGGAAAAAAAATACTGGCATAAAATAATTTAAAGACATTTGGTCTTAGACAAGCAAAGCGGTTAACAACCGTAAAATACATGAAGCTTCTTGGTAGAAGAAAAGACAACACAAAAGAAAAACAATTAAAGAATATGAACAAACCACCCACAGAAGGGAAAATACAAATGATCAGAAACAACAGTTTAATTTCACTAAACGAAAACTTTCCCTTTATAAAGGGAAGGTAAATTCATGATATACCATCTTTTCAACTATCAGACTGGCAAAACTGAAAGAGTGATAACGTCCAGTTGAGGACACTAATGTGAAAGGATACTAATCCTTTTGGAAAACAATCTAGACTCACATTAAAATTAAAACTATATATCCTTTGCCTCAGCAATTTTACTTCTGAGAATAGGTATCTTATAGATACATAAAAATAAAAAATTATAACAAGGATGATTATTACATAGTTTCTAGGGAAGTGATTAAAAAAACTAAAATCTGTCAGCAAGGAAGAGCTAAATGAACTGGGAAGCATTTATATCAAGAAATGTTATATAGCTACTGAAATAACAATTGGTTTATACCTACTGAGTTGGGAGGAATTCCCATGGTACACTGATAAGTGAAGGAGACAAGTTGCAAGGAATGTTTACTGTATAGTTGATCACATTTTAAAAAAAATTTTGTACATGTATATGCACATGTATATGTACTGATCCATTTGAAGCAAACAAAAAGGGAAAAATAACTTATTTGTTTTGGACCTGGGCACTGAACCCAGGGACGCTTAACCACTGAGCCACATTCTTAGCACGTTTTATATTTTATTTAGATACAGGGTCTTGCTAAGTTGCTTAGAGCCTCACCAAGTTGCTAAAGCTGGCTTTGAACTTGTAATCCTCCTGCCTCAGCCTCCTGAACTGCTGGGATTACAGGCATGCACCATCACACTGGGAAGAATGACTGTTTTTCAAAGTCTTTTTATATGGAAAATTTATTCCAACTGAAAAAATATTCAGTCTGTGAAACTAGTCTAAGTAGATTAAAATGCATTTAAAATGCTATTCTTATTTTAGAATGTGACTGTGGACAATTTATGCTTTAGATTTTTGTTAACTTTGTAGTGTAAAGAAAAAAGAGCACATGTTAATGACTGAAAGAAAAGGCTCCTCCACTTCCAGGTCTACGAACTTGGGAAGGTTAACCTCTATCTGAGCTCTGTTTTGTTTCATCATGTACATAATGATCACTCATAGAGCTAAATAAAAGTTGGGACACATTCTAATTCCCCTGCTTCATTGCATATAAATCAGAAAACCGAGGCTCATTGGAAGTGACAGGATTTGGCCAGGATGCTAATAACAGCAGAAATGAACTAAAATATGTTTCCATGTCAGTAGTTCAGCGATTTTTCCCACTGCACTGACCCCATCAAAACTAACTTAGAGAAGAGTTGGAAGCAACCATGGGGTCCCCAATTGGGAGACAAAATATTTCTCTGAAGCTTGCACAGCAAGGCCATACATTTCTCAAATCCTTATGAAATTAAAATAAAATAAAATAGGGATACTTGTTTTTATAAAGCTGTCACAAGGCAACTAAATGAGTAACTGATTTAATCATTAAAAGTCTCTATATTTTAAGAAAATGTAATAACAAAATTTAACTAGATACTCAGTTACAGTTGTATACACCTGATTAATTCTCACTGAAGCTCAATTCAAACATAATTTCTCTCAAAACCCCCTTGGAATAAAACAGAATATCTCCTCCTTCTATGTACTTTTATGGAATTAAATTCTCCCTTGATGTAGCATTTCGCACTGCCATTGCTATTTGCCTTTAAATGCCATGAAAACATGACCAACCTCTATCTTGTTCACCACTATAACTGAACCACCTGAGAGTGATACTGTATATACAGGTTATAAACATTAAGAATTTTTTTTAAACGAATCATTGGTCACAAGGCCACTAAATAAATCAGATGTTTCTATCTTTGCTTTTTTTTGAATCAGAGGACTCTCTTAACTACCAGATCAATCAACGAGGCCAAAATACCAATGATCAAACATTCATTCTCATTTTGTCCTAAACGAAAACATTATATCAGGTAACAGGATTAACATGCCAAGAATCACTGGACACACAAAATAAACATTTGTAATTGATAAAGATGATAATGAAGCAGCTGCATATTATTATTAAACATTCCTTCCTAAAAAAGAATTGCATCACTAATGTAATTATTAATAGAAACTGATACTATTTGTTTAGTGCTACATGTAAGGTCCTTTCAGTCTATCATCTCTTATAATCCTTAAAATGACCCTGTAACTATTTTACAATGAGGAAACTGAAAGAATTATTAAATGCCTTGTAATTAAATGGCACAGCCAGAATTTCACTTTAGAATTGCTGACTTCACAGTTTATAGTCTTAAATATTGTCAAACTACTTCCATTAGAGAAATAAAACATACTACTTCAAAGCACTTGGCTATAATTAAAATGGCCCTACTATTCTTTGTATCTCACAAAATGGAAATTCAATATATGCCTTCATTTTCCCCAAATATCACTAGTTATTTTAATATGCTAAAAGAGAGTGGACTGTGAACATTTTGTCTCTCTTTTTTTTAATCCAATACTTGGGATTGAACCCAGGGGCACTCAATCACTGAGTTACATCCCCAGCCCTATTTTGTATTGTATTTAGAGACAGGGTCTCACTGAGTTGCTTCACGCCCAGCTGTTGCTGAGGCTGGCTTTGAACTCGAGATCCTCCTGTCTCCAGTCTCCAGAGCTGCTGGGATAATAGGCTACATTTTCTTTTAAAAAATAACAACAAAATTTTCATTCTGAAAAGCAAAGTGGTATTTTTTCCCAGAAGGGAAACTTTGAGAATAATCTAATGGAAAACTATAGCAAAACTCACCCACAAAAGCTGCCATCTGAGCTGCTGTTCTCCCTACAGAGTTGACAACATCTGTCTCTGCACCAGCCTCCAACATTACCCATGTGATGTCTTTGTTTCCTAGTGTTAAAGGGAATACATTTGTTAATATAAGGAATATACAATGTAAACACCTTCAAAATTCTCTTGTATCTCTTCTTCCTCCCCCATTTACTTTTAGCTTTCCATCATGGGAACATTGTCGTGTTTTTCAAAATATGAATCATAATTATAAAAAAAATAAAATTCTACAGGATCTATTTAAAAATTAACCAAATTTTCTGGAAAAAAAAATCAGGCAATAAAAAAAAGGAATGGCATGGGATTGACTATCACATTTAAAAATAATTGAAATATGTTCTCCTAATGATAATCCTCAATATAAAATCAAAACAAACATACAAAAGTATCAAAAACAACAACAGGGATCTGGGGTTGTGGCTCGGTGATAAAGCACTTGCCTAGCATGTGTGAGGCACTGGGTTCGATTCTCAGCACCACATAAAAATAAATAAAATAAAGGTCCATTGACAATTTTTAAAAAACAAAACAAACAACAACAATAAAAACCAGAAGAGAAAAAATGAACAGGAATCCTCCTTTAATATCCACTAACTCTTTCTAACCCTCACAACTAAAGGCTCTGGAATAACTATTAACAACTTAGGATCTATCTTTCTAGATGTTTTTCTATCTAAACATCTATAGTTGTTTTCACTAATGGAATCATTATAGATGCTTTGCCAATAAAAACTATAGTTAATGAATATTATTTTCCGTCCATTCTTCCAAATTTGAACCACCATTTCCTGAGGAACAGTTCCTGGAAAATATGGATGGATTGAAGGTTAGGCATATTTTAAATGCATTTTGCCAGGCTTGGCTTCTAGGAAGGTTGGACTACAATGTACTCACCAACACAATGCAAAAAGTTCCTGGGCATTATCTTTAACCTTTGCCAATATAATAAGCATAAAATTAGGATTCATTTGATTATTATTGAAAATGTTTTGTATGTTGATAAAATATTTCTTTTGTTCTTTGGTAATATAGTACTTGTTTTTTTCTAGTGGATATATAAGAATTGTTTATATACAAATATAGCAATATAACCATTTAAACTATATAATAAATATTTTCCTCCATTTTCCATTTCTATTTTATTTATTTATTAATGTGGTGCTGAGGATCAAACTCAGTTCTCACACACGGTAGGCAAGCGCTCTAACACCAAGCCACAACCCCAGCCCTTTCATTTGTATTTTAACTCTTTTTATGGTATATATCATGGTATATATGCCAATGTTTAAATTTAATAAATTAGACAATATTGTCCTTTTGGGGCTTATAAATGCATTTGTGTTCCAAGATTATAAAAACACAGATTACTGTTTTTAAAATGAGATTATTATATCTGTATTTTCTTAAAACAACTGCAATAATCACAGATAACCTCACTTAATTTTACATCATATTTCTCAACTGACTTTATTCAGCAAAGAATAAATATCATAAATAAGTTTCTAAATGGGTGATCATGTTAAAATTGCAGTGAGACAAATTGCCCTATCATAGCAGCTACCGGATCAAGAGAACCAAGAAGTGTTTGCTTCAAAATATCAAGAAACAGAACAAAGTAACTAACGTAACAAACCTAGCTTCTCAATTACACCAAATTATATTGTCAACATAAAGAACCAATTGATTTGAGTCTCTAAAGAAACAGATTGCCAATTTAGGTATATAATTAAGTTCATACTTTATAACTTTTCAAAACCAATTCCTACCACTCCATCCCATCAAAATTGATCTTAAAATTACTAAAATAAAAATGCATTTGAATTTCAAATACCTATTCATTTAAAACAAACTTGTAAAGGTATCTAATATTAATAGAGCAAGGGCTCAGACTTCACCAGAAAGTGCAGCAAACATGAGGGCCGTGTATCCATGTTCATGTTGATGACAATTCACATCAGCTCCGTGTCGCAAAAGTAACTTGCACATGTCGAGTTTTCCTTTATATGCTGCATGCATGAGAGGAGTCATTCCATTCTTCAACCAAAAGGAAAAATGTATTAATTTTACATATTTACATTTTCCTTACCATGAATATAAAATAAACATGAATTAATAAAAGCATGTTAAAGCCTGCAAACTATTTTTTATTTTTTCTAGTTCATTATATGCAAACTATTTTTATATTCATTTTGAGATTTTTTTTTTTTATACATCAACATACAGATTTGGAAAGGATGTGTTTCATTCTTTGAAACATGGGGGGGGGGGGGCAAAAACAAGTACACAGATTTCCAATGTTCTCATCTCTACCATACATACTTAGCTCCTGGGGAACATATAACCTCATAATATCAAACTAAAGAAAAACCTTGAAGCAAATGAAACCCATCAAAAGGAAAGTTGAATAAAGTACAGCATATTCTTAACAGTGGATATTATTAAGCTATCAAATAAACTAATTCATCTGTACCTACTGAATTGGAAAAGTTTGAATGACTGCCAATGAGAAAAAGAAGGTGTAGCAAATGTTTATTAGAGTGATATCATTTCGAAAAACAAATATACCCAAATCACATAGTTTAATCACATTATGATATCACATGTTTTATACGCACATACACACACACACACACACACACAGAGCTGGTTGGTAGTATTCATACTGGACTATACTGTTTGGTCTCCAAATATTTTGTGCATATTCAATGAAACAGTCATCTTTATGTGTATTGTGCTCCTAATATTATTTGATGAATAAATTAATGAGCTATTTTCTATGAGTGAATTTTCTCCAAACTAAACTCTATATGCTGGAATGCCAAAGTGGTTTAGGATAAAAACCTTCTTAGCTATACAATCCCTTACTATTGTAATCTTAGAATGCTAACATAATTTGAGTTGTTCTTGACGATTTCAAACATCCCCGCCCACCTCCACCCTCATATTGAGGACTGAAACCAGGAGGCTCTACTACTAAGCTACATCTCTAGCCTTTTTAAAAAAATATTTACATGTCTCACGAAGTTGCCCAGGTTGTCCTCCTCCTGCCTCATCCTCCTGAGTAGCAGGAATTACAGGCTTGTTCCAGCATGCCTGGCCAGACTATTATTCTTGTTAACACAATGCCATACTGTTCTTAAAAAGGTTGCTGACAGAAGGATAGGACCTTTCAGGTGGTTGCACAAGAGGAAACTCAGTGGGAGTAATCTGTGTTTCTTGGGTGTAAGAATGGAAAAATAAGGAAATGATAACTTAAGACATCCTTAATTGAGTGTTTTTACAGGAATGCAGTGGGCAGGTTAGTGCGGCACTCATTGTACACATGTACATAGGCCACCAGTGGAGTGCTTTAGGGAAAGGGAATGAACTGCATAGTCATTAGCCTCTGAATAAGGCAAAGAACATAGGGTGACTGCCCTAATGGATGATGAAACCTGTACATAAAAGGATAGTGTGTGGAGCAGGCTGGAAGGACTTAACCATGGTGGTAACAATGAAGCAATCAGGTATTTCTTTCACAAATTTTTAGGACTCAGGCTTCAATCAGGGAGTTTAACATTTTCTATTCATCCAGAACAGTGGGCAGCCAAAGGGTGCCTGTTTTCTTGCCTGTGCTTTAACTCTATGTTAATGAGTTCTGCCCATTGATCTGTCTACCTCTCTTTGTTTCCCACTACTCCTTTTCCATTCATTTTCAAATTTCTCTTTTTTCTTCTCTCTTGTTATTTCTCATTTACTAGCTATCACCATAGCAGGAATTGTATTCTAGAGTCAATCAACCAATGAGTGATCTTCTTTCCAAAATGTAAAGTTATCTCAATTACATCATTTGCAGGGCAATCTCTGAACCTGATGTTTTCTTGTGTCAATAATGTAGTGTGTATTTTTTGCCATATCAATTCAGTGGTGTGCTGAATATTTCTAGGGATTAGAAACCAAACCCACAGTAACAACTTTAGCTTTCAAAGAATTGGGTAGCACACATATTTCCTCATCTCTTAGTTCAATTTTGCAATATACAAATTTAAAACAGTATAAAGGAAATTATAAAATTTGAGGGCAATGTTACTGTGTATCACCTTGGTTCTAGTACCATTTATGGAAATATTTAAATGGACCACAAAAAAGAAATGATGTTAACAAGTTTTGATGTTCCAAGAGATATAAAGCCACCATACTATAAATTTTCTAGTCTTTCAAGTATTTTTTTTTAAGAGAGAGAGAGAGAATTTTTTAATATTTATTTTTTAATTTTCGGCAGACACAACATCTTTGTTTTCGTATGTGGTGCTGGGGATCGAACCTGGGCCAGATGCATGCCAGGCGAGCACACAGCTTGAGCCATATCCCCAGCCCCCTTTCAAGTATTTTTATACTGCCGCAGTCTGGCTGGGGACAAATTAACCGAACCACCACAAAGCCTTGTAGGTTCAAACAGCAACTCTTTATTCCCGAACTCTCACCGGTACTCTACACACACTTCCCAGGAACACACTGCCTCCACCGGGCTCCACACGCCAATTCTCAGAACCCTGAGAGAACTCAAAGGGAACTCCCAAGTAGCAGGCGCCTGAGGCAGCAGGATCCGCCCTAATCCCAGAGCCACCCTATTCCCTGAGGATCTGCCATAATCCCCGAGCTGCCCTAATCCCAGAGCAGGGTCACTTTTCAACCATTCCCTCTAGCAAAATGCCAGGCGTCATTCCGACTAAACTGTGGCTCTCAACATTATACTATTTCAGGGTAAATATCAAGAAAAGGAAATGAATAATTCAAAACAAAACAGCTAATCTTCAAGAAAAATAATATTCCCATGTTTAAAATAAATTTGGTAAATTAATATGCTATGCTCCCGTTATAAATATAGAATAACTTAGTATGAGGAAGAAAATTAAAATATTGAATGTTCATCTCTGCTCAAATTAGGAAAGTAGTGAAGTTTCATAAAATGTTATCATAGTGTTAAATGTAATGCATCAATTCTATGAAATATTTTGTTTTTATATTAAATCTATGAAATTGAGTTTCCATTTCTGCCTTTTTTAATATTTCTAAAATCTAGAGAGTTTTTAAATCTATGGCACCTTAGATCCAATGAAAGATCAGAATGAAACTTCTCACCTCCTTGTCTTTTCTCAAAGACAAACTAGAAATATCCATTTAATTGAATTATATGAAAAAAAAAGCCTTTACAATTCTTTAAATACAATGACTTTAAAAATGATTGATATTCATCTTACACAATTCTTAAATCAAAGAATTCATCAATATTAGGCTAGTATGCTGTACATCTGTAGGAACTCTAATTTCTTCATATCTTCAATGATATTCATTATTACCTACTTTTTAAAATTAGAACTATCCCAAGTAAATATGAAGTAGTATCTCATTGTGGCTTTGATTTGCATTTCCCTGGTAGCTAATGATATTGGGCATTTTTTCATATGTATATTGATCATTGATCTATTTTATGTGGAACAAAGGAATTTCTTAATAAAGTTATATGTACCTTAATAATTAATTTATAGATGTTTTTAAAGTATGTTCTTGCTGTAAGTCCCTCATTACATATACTTTGTAAAAATTTTTTCCTATTCTATAGGCTCTATTTTCATTTTCTTAATGGTGTGCCTTGAAACACAAAAGGTTTTATTTTGGTGACTTCCAATTTATCTAGACTTCATTTTGTGGCTTGGCTTTACTGCTTTTTAAAATTTTATTGTATTTAATTTTATTTTTCCTAACTCATTTCTCCTACTTTGTGCCTTACTCTTTTTATATAATTTCATGAACTGAAAACTTACAACACCACAAAGATTGAAAGTACAATGATAGCTTGGCATGGTGGCACACTCCTGTAATTCCAGCGTCTCAGGAGGCTAAGGCAGGAAGATCTTAAGTACAAAGCCAGCCTTAGCAACCAAGTGGGGTCCTAAGCAACTTAGTGAGACCATGTCTCAAACTTTAAAAAAATAAAATAAAAAGGGCTGGGGATATGACTCAGTGGTAAAAAGTACCCATGTAAAACAGGCAGTGATAAATGCACATCATTTCTTCTAAATATCACTTTGGCTACCTAAACAGCTTTTGATAAATGTTGTATTTTTAATTCAAAAGACAATTTCTATTCTACTTATTCATTAATCTAAGAATTAATGAATTATTATTATTATTATTATTATTATTATTATTATTATTATTTTTGGTACCAGGAATTGAACCCAGAGCCACATCCCCAGCATTTTTTATTTTTTGAGACAGGATCTTGCTAAATTGCTTAGGGCCTTGCTAAGTTGCTGAGGCTGGCTTGGAACTTGCTATCCTCCTACCTCAGCCTCCCTTGTTGCTGGGATTACTGGCATGCATACCACCACTAGCCTGGTGCTAAAAAATTATTTAGAGTTCACATATTCCCAGATATATGCTTTATTATTTTGATTACATTTTTATTTTTCATCTATCACACACTGCATTTGGTGAACTTGTTTGATATCAGCTAGAATTTCCTTTACAAAATAGTATAACACCTAATTCATTAATATATAAAAGATCTTGTTTCTTATACTTGACCAAAGAACAATATGACTTGGGCTTAATTTGTACTTATTTGATTACTAACAAGATTATACACGTTTCAGATGCATGTCTTTTGTGACTTGCCTGTTTACATTGATTTGGAGAGTGTCAGCATAATTTGAACACAAATACTAGAAAACTTTTACTGACAGATTATATGTGTCATACATTCACACAGGAAATAAAACACTTTATTAATATTTTTCATTTTACCTCATCCAAACAGTTAACACGAACATTCTTACTGGATAAAAGTGTTCCAGCTTCTTGGACAGTACCTGAAAAAAAGTTGAAAACTAAGATTATTTACCACTAGAATTAAACATATCAAAATAATAAACTTTAAAGGATTATCTGTAAAACTAAGACCAGTCAGCCCTTGGGTTGCAAGAAAATAAGGCATCCAATCACATAATGTTTATTCACAAAGTAGAGAGAAATAGATTTATAGAAACTAAAATAGGTTATCTTGTTTTTACTTTAACTGACCTTAAACTATGTTAAATTAGCCACATTTTCATTTTGGCTACAATATAATAACCAAAAAGTGGGCTGGGGATGTGGCTCAAGCGGTAGCGCGCTCGCCTGGCATGCGTGCGGCCCGGGTTTGATCCTCAGCACCACATACAAACAAAGATGTTGTGTCCACCGAAAACTGAAAAATAAATATTAAAAATTCTCTCTCTGTCTAAAAATAATAATAATAATAATAACCACAAAGCATAAGATTTAATACTGAAACAAATCTTAAAGGGCATCTGATCCAAATCACCATCTACAGTTTAAATTCTAGTCAGTGTAATACTTGGAATTCAAAACGCAGTCAGTATTTATATAATTTGTCAGCACTAGGTCTTGTGAATTAATGCATGTTTATAATGGAATGCTTGGTTTGGAAATGCTTAGGTGAAACTAAACTGTAAAATCTGGTGCCCGGTGAAAATGTTCTATGGTCAATATTCAAACCAGCATGCTAAAAATGATCAAATTTAAACTTGAAGGTCAGTCCTCAGTGAATTTGGAAACCAACTGAAATTGGGCCATGATTATCAGGTTTTTCCAGTCTTCTGTAAGGCATAATGGCAGAATCAAGTGACTTCAGGAGACAATGTTGAGATTATCATCATTAATACAAGACATGTTCTGCCAAATAATTTCTGGTTTGACTGGGAAGAGAACAAAGAAATTGATGTTCTCAGGGAGAAAGGATAAGATGAGCCTCTTTTCTAAAAGAACATTATAAAGAATAGTATCATCCCCCAACCAGGTTATCTCTGCTTTTCAGAATTTCAGAATTACTGTTCGAGAATATACTAAATTCTGCTAGCCTTCCAGAATAAAGGTGGAATACAGAATGAAGATCAGTATGTTCTTTCTCCCCAACCTGCCCCTTAGACAAGTCCTTGAGTGTTGCACTCCAACAGAGGAACAGAAATGTCCCCTCCATATACAGAGGCATGTCTCTGTTGGGAAAATGTCAAGAGAATGATCTACATGTCCCTGGAGTATGACAGCAGCTATTTTTGTAAAGAGTGCATTTTCCTGACCCTGAACTCCAACTAAAGTCAGTTGGTATCATTAGCTGAATGCCTTAAAAAAAAAAAAAAAGGCAGGGGGTAGAATGGGGATGGGGAGATTTGAGTTTGTAAGCAAATTCTACATTAACCTTATCCATACCTGTGGCTTCTTGTCAGAGACTTTCTCAAAGAACTCTAGAGAAGAATTAAAACTGAACAAAAACTCCTGCATCCCATTTTCACTTAAAGATGTTTCACATTCTCCATTGCGAACTAACTGCAGTTGCTTTCTTTCTGGCCAGGATATGTACGAACACTACAGGGATTGTGAGCATGTCAAAGCCTGCTACATGTCAAGGTGAGGATGGGGATTACGATCAAAAACATTTGGTTCTCACTAGCAAACAGTCTGCTAATTCTATAAAATGTTTGCCCAGTAGCCAACAATCTGAGTTAATCTGTTTGGTCAAGGAAATTTTTTTTTTTTTTAAGTGTAAAAAAAGCAAATCTGTAATGAAGCAAAGCAAAGCAAGCTGTAATGAAGGGAAAAACAAAACAAAAACAAAAAAATGAACCGTTCTCTCCTGCTAAACTCTTACTCAGTTGTCTCAATATTTCACTTCTGTCACCAAATTTCCAAATGTATAAAGGTTTTCCCCACAAACCAAGCAATTCTCAGCCGACACCAATGGGGTGTCCTCCTCAGTTCCTAGGATGGCTCAAAGAACTCAGGGAAAACCATTTACTAACATTTCCCTATTAATTTTAAAGGACATTTCAAAGGATATAGCTGAAAAGCTCAGTGGAAGAGACACACAGGGCAAGTGTATTGTCTTTAAAGAAAAGGGGGACTTGGGAGGCTGACGGAGGATCCCAAGTTTGAAGCCAGGCCCAGCAACTCAGTGAGACATGGTCTCAAAGAAAAAAAACAAAACAAAACAGGGCTGCAGTGATAAAGTGTTCCCTGGGTTCAATCCCCAGAACGGTCATCTTCTGAAAAAAAAAAAAGGGGGAACAGTAAAACACCATGTCCCTGAATGCCTCCTTCATGTTCCCCAAAACCTAGCCAAGTTAAAGGTAAAATGAGAGCATGCCTGGGCCAAAATGTCCAGCTATATATTATCTTGAAGGACACTGACTTTCTCATGCACACTAGGGGCAAGTTAGTGCTCTCTGCTGAAAGCTACCTTCTTGCACGCCAGGAAAATACTCCTAGGGCTGCTTGTCACATAAGCAAACTAAGCAAGCCAATGCTGATGTCACTGCTTCTGTAACTTAACACATAAAACCCCTGTCAGTGGCGACTAGTGCAGAACTGAGGGCACTGTGGTAAGGATATGTGTCATTCACCTAGCCAGCCACCATGGGACAAAATCCATGAGGAACAGAGACACTACTTGGTGAAGCACTTTGAAGGATGGGAGTAGAACTGTCATTGATTTAAGTTTTTCCCAATAAGTCATACGTCTCCCATACCATCTCTGGGCACTTTCTTTGGTCTTTTAGCAACCTTACCATTGGACTGGCACAACTGGGCTGTGGATGTGACAGTAAGGTATATGGGAAGGGGGACACAACCTTCTTTGGGTGTTCCAACTAGCAGTAATTTGGATACTCTCTGAATCTCATAGTTCAAGAATACGTAGGGAGGCTTCAATACAGACATAATCTATTATTAACTCAATCTTCATCGCGTCTGTCCTTCCTGGAGGATGGCAAGAGATTCTAATTATGACTTGGGCTCTAGTAACCAGCCCCATTCTGAAGCTATCTAAGAGCCCACCAAGAGGCAACTTATTATAAAATTATAACAAAATACACTCCTGTGACCCCAGGTATTCCAAGGCATTAGCAACTGTTTTCAGTAACCAGGGTCAAAGACCAAATGTTAGAGCAAAAGATGCACGTAGCACTCTTGTTTAGGAGTTTATGAAGGTTTTAGGAATTGTGTCAGGAACTGGGGGCAGAGAGCAAACACATATTTATTTTATCACAAATGTGTGTGCATGCACACACGTGAAAACACATACTCACACAGACCACTCAATAGGTTATGGTTAGCCTTTTGAAATGCAAGGACCAGGATGAGAAAAATTCTGAAACAGTGTGGGCTTCTATGGAATTAAAACAGGTTTTAGAAAATGGATGAGCAACAATATCAATTAAAAAAACCTTGTGTTGGCTTTTAATTTAGTGTTCCTAATTTAATGATATTAGGAAGAAAACATAAACAGTCCAGAATAGCATAGAAATGAGAAACATGGCTCATTTTGAGGTTTTACTTTATTCTTTCCTTACCACCCATAGTACATCTCAAACAATATCTTGCAGTGAAGTTTAAAAGATAAACTGTGATAGTCTGAGTCAGAAATGTGTTAAATATGATTTAACAAATTCTTAAGGTAAGGATGCATCACTGAAAGGAAACACGATATCAGCCAAATTTTACCTTCTTTGGAGAAAAAAAAAATTAACAGATCCAATTTCTTTTGCTATTTTAAATAAATATTGACTTTTGTGTCTAAAAAATTAACAGATCTAAACTAATGAAAGTAATACTAATAATTTGTTTCCTTCTGAGGACTTTTCTGGGTTGCTCAAAACAGAGAAAAGAATACAAAACAACCTGATTCATTAAGGTGAAACTGATCAGTTTATCTGAATAAACCAGCATTTCAGCAGGGAAAAGATGGTGCAAGGAGTGACATTCTCTGTTATTATCTTCTCTTCCTCCACACTACTGCCCTTTTAGGACTACTATGAAATCCAACATGACCTACAAAACCCTCAGCTTCCCCATATACAAAGCAAAGACAGTAGTATCCATCCCATAGGATTCTTAAGAGGACTAAGGATTTGCCCTATATGGGTGCACTGTAAGCCTTTGTTACATATTAGACATTCTTTTTATTTCATATTCAGAGCAGCACAATATAACTTGTTGTTACATTTCTAATATCCAGATAAGAGTCCGTAGGTCATTACTGAAGATCATCAGATACAGCTAAAGCAAACAGGGAGAAACAAACTTGTGACATTCTGTTTCCAGCAGTTCATCAGAAAATCATGAGATTCAGGCATGTATAGGTTTGTCTTTTTGCAGTGCTGAGGATTGAAAGCAGGCCTCACACATGCTGGCTATTCACTCTACCACTAAGCTACACCCTCAGCCACTAGGTATGTATATATCTGAATAATTATTTTAGTGGAATCCCCAAAAATGGACATTGGAAGGAATCTGTACCCGAGGTATGGAAATCATTTGGCTTGTTAGTTGGTATAAGGTATAAAAAAAAAGTTATATGAAAACATTTAAAGTGCCTTAATTTAAAAACATAGACATAGACTTTTATATAATTACAGATATAAAGCTAAAAATATATTTCTGTAGAGTATCACATGCATTTAAAATAGTGGATTTGTGTGAAGTTTCTAAAAGTTCTCCTACTTCATTTTCATCGTCTATGAAGAAGAAATTAACATATTTACCATAGCAACAGATAACAGTGCTTTATAAGTGCTTTACCTATACAAACTCATTTCATCCTAACAATAATGCTGTGAGGGAGGTACTATTATTTCCATTATTCACATGGAAAAGGTGAAATTCAGGAAAAATAATTTTCACAATGCCACATCAGTAATAAATGATTGAGATAAGATTCAAAACCAGACCACATGGCTAACCACCACCCCATAAGGAATCTTATAACATAATAATATAACAAAATAATCTCTAGCTCATCAAAATTAAATGCATTAATACATGCATAGTGGTTAAAATTGTGCCTTGCTTGTAATAACATACTGGCTATAGTTGTTATCGTCTCATATCTCCCATTACCCATATTGAGAGGGCAATGATGAGGGCAATGATTGCCCACAGACCTTGATTTATGAACAATATCACCTACTAAATCCACTTCAGTTCTTTTCTCATTGATATGGGCCAATAAAAGTGATGAAACATAGCATCCTGCACTCATGCAACTTGATCCATGATGTGAATCCATAAACACCACAGCACTAAGAAGAGCAAATGTTCATCAATTCTGTTTTGTATAATCTTTGGAATAAAAACTGGTGGACCTCTTAGAATTTATCTGGGAATGCCCACCTCCTCTTTCAGAGACCTAGTTTATAAAACTGCTCACTGGTTTTCACTTTTAACAGTATATGTGATAGTTCTGGCCTGTTCAAAATCAGGATTCTCATCCTTGGCGGGCTGCGAGTTGATCTTTTGTCCCTTTTTGCCCAGCAAAAAACAGCAGGTACACAAGTGGAATTCATATGTTTTATGAAATGAATCTCTGAGACACCAAAGACAGGGAGAGATTATTCACAGACAGAACAGAAAGACTGTAATGCCAAATAGGTCATCTAGAACTGTGCAGTACAAACAATGACAACCCAACCCAAAGTCCCACAATTCTGGCAAAGAACACAAGGTAAATTTAGCTGCAAATGACTTTGAAATGTTGAGATAAAATCAAATGGGCTTAGCCCATCATCACCTGTTGAGTTCAAATTCTTTTTTCCCCCTCCTTTACATCTGGGCTTTCCTTGTTGTTCTGAAGAATAAATTGGCCTTATTCTCGCTACTTAGAAGAAGGGATCCTGGGAGCCAGCCTTATGATGCAATTCTGGGCCTTTCTGCCATTTGAGGGAAGACGTGGCTTTCTAATTCTTGAATTTAAAACCACATTAATCATGTCGACAGTCCCACGCATCCTCGTCCCAGCGCCTTGACAGTGCAGGAAAGGCATGCGGTCATGCGGTCACCTGCCAGGTAACGAGATTCAGCAGAGAACTCCTCTGGGACGTCCACTTCTGGGACTGAGGGCAAAACATGGCTTCTGGCTCGTCCCAGTGGCTTCCTTTCTACAAACCCGAGCAGCGGAAGTGGAACACGCTCAGGGAGGGTGGAAGGGAAAGCGCTGAGGAGCGGGGTTAGAAGATCCCAGCAGTGTTAACACTGGCAAAGGGGTGGATGTGGACGTCTTGCCAATTTTCTCGCCTCTCTGCAGAAACCTGCGGCGACCAGGGCTTCTGGAAGCCCTGAATGCAGGGAACCTCAATGCGGCAAATTATGGACCTAGTTCTAAGCCCTTATAAGCACCCCGCTCTGTGCGAGCTCCCACCACCCTCAAAGCGAGGGCGGGGACTAGCAAGGGATCCAGATAATTCGGCCTCCGGAAGTCGAAAGGGCCCTTTAGATACCCGCCTAATAACCTGGAACTAACAGGCCACTGTCGCCAAGACGAACTGTGGTTAAAATCACCTGGGAGTTTTGAAGAACATGCACGCTAGGGCACTCGCCCTGGGGATGCTTCATTATAGTCTATGGTGGGCAGTGGAAATCCGTACGTTTCCAAAGCTGATTTTAGAGGACGCTCCTCTGCAGAGCTCCATACCTGTAACAGCAGTGTTTCTGCCTACCATACCTTCGCCCCCGCAACCGGTCCCAGACCAAAGCCAGAAACGGTTTTCTTCCGACCCCAGACTGCCAATTTCACAGAACCATAGAAAAGGTTCACCCGGACCAGGGGCACCCCTGGGGCCCAGCCACTTTCCGCAGCCAAGTTTGCAGCTCCCGGATCAAAGCCCAGCACCCATACCTTTCCCGATAACTTCCAGCAGCTCCTTTTCCTCCTGGGTCAGCTCGCCTTTCTTTATGTGAACCATTGCTCCAGCCAGCTTGAAGATTTAAAAAGGAAGTGTTACAAAGGAAATGATGTGCCTGTGTTTCGAACGTCAACCGCAAAGAGGCAACTTGAGACCAGGGCACTGAAGCCAACCGCGGAAGCACTTCTCAGGCTCCTACAGGCTGGCGGGCTAGGAGCGAGCTCCGGCGAGCCGGGAAGGCGGACTCCGCAGATCCAGCTGCAGTCACCACCCCCGCGCGTCATTGGCCCGGCCAGAAGGAGGAGCTGCAATAGGCAGCTACAAGAGATTCCAATTGGAGCAGCCTACGAGGGAAAAATCAAATGGAAAAAAACTAGAGGGGAGTATTAAATTCGCCTTACCCATCCCACGCCTACATCACGTCCGGCTCAGTTATCTGGGAATAAGCAATATTTAAAATTCTATATCCTGCATTCTCTGTCCGACATTGCCTTCCTGGCGTGCACAAAGTTCTGCAAGTCTCGCTAGAAACGCACAAAAACCCCCGTAGTGGCGCAACCGGGCGGGGGGCGGGCTCGGAGGCGGGGGCGGTGCGGGAGGCGGAGCTTCTCTGGGTTCCGTGTGTCTATGTCAATGTGTCTGTCCTTCACTCCTCCATTGTCTGCTGCCGCCACTGCAGCTGCAGGAGTTTCCGCAGCCCCCAGCCTCGCGCGTCGTCGCTACCTCCTCGGACAGGTAAGAGGAAGCCCAGATGGGACCGGGAGACGTAGCAGGATTGGGGAAGCCGTGGCCGCCACCGCGTCGGGGGCTTCCACACGGCCAAAGCAGGCGGGGGAAAAAGCATGTGCCTCCTGGGGTGGCTTCCTGCCCCTAAGTAAAGAAGCCCCCATTCTGCCCGCTCATCGCCACATGTATCATGTATCAGTGCCCTGGGATGGAGACTCCCGACTCGCCACATTTGGCCGTCCCAGGAGATCCTCTGAGCACTAGCCGGCGGGGGCCGACCACGCGGTGGGAAGTGGCGGGTGCACATGGTCTCGTGCGTGGCACAGCCAGATGCGACCTCTGGGGAGGCGGGCACTGGGGCTCTGGGCTAGAAGTAAGGACTAGAGCTCCCCTTTGCGAGCGAGATGAGCTCATGGTAAAGGACTCGGAGAAGGTAGTTTTCTTTTGGCAAACCTCGTCCCCCCCATTACTTGTCATCTCCTTTTGGCCTCTGTGGAAGCTGTAGGAGAAAACCGGACCTGATCGCCCTGTGGTGCCTATTAAGGATGTTTGGAAGCAATTTACACTTCCACTAATGCTAGATTTATGAGATACAGCCTGGAGGAAGGGGAAGGAAGGGCCTCTTCACTCTGCTAGAGTTCCCAGTCTCTTTGTAACTCAGATTTTGAGATTTATGGAATAGGGAGGGGAAGGAGGGGCGGAGATTAAATTGGTGTTGCTGTCTATATATAGTCTTAGATTAGCCTCTTAATCCAAACTTCATTCAAATGTAATAATGTAGCCCGAGCTTCCCATAGGTAAATAGGGGGTATATAAAAGTGTGCACTCTTCAGTGGCTTAGAAACAAGACTCCCTTTCTGAAATATGTAGTCAGTCATTCCTCCAAGGTGTACATCCATAATGTTTTTACAGCATCAATGAAAGCTTCTTTAGAAATTACTGTTTGCAGTTTTACTGTTGTTTGTCTACAGGCAATTATTGATGTTTCTCTCAAGACCCATCTGTGTCAAAGAGAAATATTTGAATAATTATGTAGATGGTTTTTGTTAAGCATCCCCAGGACCACTTTTTCTTCCCATAGTGCCATATATAAAGTGAAATGCATTTTTCTCTAGCCTTATGTCTTCATTGTGCAGAAAGCATTTACTGACTCTTTTGAAATCCAGGGAAGATATTCATCATTATTTCTTACCTTTAACAAAAATCTTTCCTAAACTCCAGCTGCCTCTCCACGACACCCCTGATCCCCCTGCCAGGCTTTGGCTTTTGGGGAGGAGGGTAGATCTGGGCCAGAATATCTCATATGAAAATGGTTTCAAATTATTCATCTCCATGTATAACAAAGAAACTTTTGTTTGATGATGCTTTAATAATGATGTAGCTGTTCAAAAAAGTAGCATAGCTTTTGAGAGAGACCAGTCTTTTGTAACACTCAGAAAATGCTTTACTGCCACAGTTACAATCAATTTATAATGTATCATGCCAAAGGAACCCAGGAGCCTAAAAAAATGCTTGAGGAGTAACCTCAACATGTGACATAACATCTTACCAGCAGATGCATAGGCAGAATTGGGTGCTTCCCTGCCAGTGTTTCCATCTCTTGTGCCAAATCTGGGTCATGGTTACTTGAAGGTCACACCTGTTTGTCTTGCTGGGTTGTCAGTTCCTCGAGGATACAAATTATTATCAATTTTCTTGGTGCTTTATGATACCTGGTTAGTCTGTGAATAATGACTTTAATCAATTTAGAGTCAATGACATTTAAAGACAAAGAAAAACCAACATCCACCTAGAAATGCAAATAAATCACATGTTCAGTTTAAATTTCCAGAAACATACCTAATGGAGAGTCTTTATCAGATAGATTAAGTTAATAACTTTATATAATATAAATATTTGGTGTATGGATAGGATTAATTAATGAGCATATTAAAATGTTTTCACATCAAATAAATATTTTGATAATAAAATTGCTACTCAATATTGAGTATTTAGTCTGTTCTAGCTGTTCTACCAGATGCTTTGCATGGGATTATTTTTTCCTTGTTCTAACAACCCAGGAATTAGCCAGTATTGTCCCTTTATGCAAATAAGAGAACAGAAATTAAGGTAAATTGATTTGCTTATGACCCTATAGTTAGAAAGTGTCGAAGCCAGAATTGGAACTCAGAGTGGTTGGTCTGTCTCTAAAACTTTTTCTTTTCATTATTCTCTATGTGCCTGCCAGGTGAGGCACATTGTACATTTTTTGACTACCTAATAGTTAATATGTCCATGTGTTTTAGCATGCAAAGGTACAGAAGTCTCTCTCCCACTTCTTCCCCAAGTTTCTTCTCCATTACCTACAACCAAAGGGAATGTATGTCTTCTTTCTGAAATATAGCATATATGTATATTTCTACTACATTTTCTTTTTCTTTCTTTCTTTGTTTCCTTCCTTCCTTCCCTTTCTTTTTCCAGAACTGGGAATATACTAATAGGCCATTGTTTAATGAAATTTGTGTGGTACTTTTTTCCATATCTACTCCACCTTTTTTAAAATAATCATTTCTGAAATGTCTGAAATACTCTATGTGTCCTCTCATCTCCTTTTCTACTGCTACTGCCTTAGACTTCTTCTGGCCTATTACGGTGGATCCTAAATAGCCTGCTTCTTTCTCTACCCATCCAGCTAATTCAAGGAACACTCATTAGGCTGTTATTGGCTCTCCACTGGCCACAGAACAGGATTCCATCTTGTGGTCCCAGCAAGCATTTCCAGTCAGCCAGGCCCTCCCACATTGCCCTGAGGTCACCACACTGCTGGTTCCCTAACCTGCCAGTAATTTCCACCCCTTTGTTCTTGCTTTTCTCTTCCTGGAATAACCTCCCTTCCTTCTTCACCTAGTCTCTTCTCCCCATATCTGATGAGCTGCTCAACTCTCAAGACCTGACTTAAATATAAGTTGTTTTTCCTCCAACTATGATTTCCTTCTCCCACCCTGTCCAGTGAGGGGAGTATAGACCCTATTATAATAATAAAACCTAAATAATGTGTTCACACACATTATTCAGGTCTATGAGCAAGTGAGTAAAGAAAATCTTTGCACAAAGGTGGCATTGACAAGCATCGTAGTAGCTAGTACTATTATTGGTGTTCTCTAATTTTCTCCTATCTTCTTATGGACCCCAGGCCATGCCCATTCCCCCTTAACCTCTTCTGAATTAACTTCTTTGCTTCTGGATATGTGTCCACATAAAAATACATAAAGCTTGCACCACTACCATCACATTCTAATATAGCTTATGTTAATTTATTTGGACCCTTCCTCTTCTATGCTATAAATTAATTAGGTCAAATTCATCTTAGTTTCTCAAGATATAACCCAGTAACTTGCTCAGTGAATGCTGAGATGAATTCATTTGATCTCTAAGTTAATTTAGGTGGATTTGCTTTCCTACTTGACTAATCCTTCCTGGCAATGTGAAGTGATGTGGCACTGAGCACATATAACCATAACCAGGGGCAGAAAGTCTTTAAATGCTTTGAGTCTCAAGCTTCTTGACATTTGAGTGAATGCTG